CTTTTAAGTTTAATGTAAGTTCCTTTCCTTACTATATCCGACCGTTTCCTCTTGGTCTTTTCCCTTGAACGGTTTCAGGTTTTTGGGTTATAGGTTTCCCTTATGCTCTAGACAAGGTTCCAATCTCTTAGACTATTCGGGTCTACATTCCAATTTTTAAACTTTCGGAATCTAGACTCCAGATGATCCTAACAAAGACTTAGACAATCTGACTTATGCTAATCTTTAGGTTTTGCGAGAACCTAGCTTAATGAATTCTCATCTAAGGACGTAACAAGGCAACGTAATGGTAGCACTATTTCGGATAGGTCATGCACAAGTACCAAGCTCACACAATGCAAAATGCCTTAAACATTCATAAGTATTAAGTATCCAACCACACAAAATACTTAACATTATTCATCCAAAATATTACATAAGTTCAAGTCAAGTTTCTAACCGATTTGATACAATAAGCCACTAAGCATTACCTGATCTTGGAACCAGCCCTAAAATTAGGTTATCAAGTTATATCCGATTATCTTATCTTATCATTTACAAAAAGATAAGGGTTAGCACCCATCATACCTGGCGCGGAGGGGTCTTAGGGTACCTATATCTGGAACATAGCCTTACCCCTAAGGTTTTGGATGAAGCTGGGCCGCTGGATGAGGGGTGAGTCATAGTCTGAGTCATGGTCGGGATAAGCGTGATCTCTGGATGGATGATGGGACATTCGCTTCCTCGGTGTCCTTTTCTTCCACAGTGAGCACTAATCACACTAACCACTTTGTCTTTCCAGTTCTAGGTTGGGCAGAAGTAGGACACATGACCATTTAATCCGCACAGTCGGCACCACGTTGTTGTAGGTGAAGAATATCGGATCCCGTATCCCCTACTAGGTCCTGGTGCTCTCGAGTCTTGTACTGCTTCTGATATTCCGTAAGACTCATTTCCGATTTCCATGGGATTCCCAACAGGTGTGTATGTTGGAATTGGTGGAAAATCTCGAATAACCTGCGGAGCGTCCCTATCATGCCAATCCCGGTAGGACTCTGACTGTCGAAGACTTTCCATATATCTTTCCCAATACTCGGTGTTGTGTGGGTAAGGATCCACACTTGGTGGTAAGGTAATCTCCGGTACTACTGGCTCCGGAGATGACGTCTGGGACTCGAACACTTGGGAAACAAAGGGCATCCGTATGGGACTTTCTCCCTCTTCGCTATCTGACGAGATCACAACAACTTCAGAAAGCTGTGGGACAACTGAAGGATCTAGTGAATCCGGAATAACGATAACTTCCGGTTCCGACATCTGATCATTGGGAACTTAGACTTCTTCCGAATCCCTTTCGGAATCCTCTTCTAGTTCAACTTCTTCTTGTTGGCAACACGGTTCTGGGCCTAGACCGTAGTGTTGGTGGCCTACCGCGTATTGCCGATGTACTGGAATACCAACAAAGTCCATCTCTTCTGACTCACTTGGATAGTTCATTACCACTTCGGATCCAGAACTGTCTGAGCTGTAGCCGTCGAATATGTTTACACTTGATCCATCCGAAGACTGGTTGGTCACACCCGACTCAGACTCAGCATCCCCCATCCATCTCGGCATCTTTAAATCCTGATTG